TCGTACATTTCGCAGTTGCTGTGCGTCTCCTTGCCTCGATTGTCAGTCTGCCTGCGGGCGAAATGGAAAAGCTTAGCAGGGGACTCGAGCCAGTGCACCGCATTTGGCAGCCAACTCACTTGGGCAGCGTCAAGTCGAGCCACTGATTCATCGTGAGATTGGTGTGCTCCCTGCCCGGGACCGTGCACCAGTGATCCGGTATGTTGAGCGCCAGGATGATGTTCATGTAGACCATGGCGCCGGCGAAAGCCAGCCCGGCGACGAACACATAGTTGTAGAGCGTCTGGTAGCGGCCGTGGTTGCCCGCCTTCTCCATGAGCGCCTGGAACGGATCGTTCAGCTCGGACTCATCCAGGTCCATTTCACTGACGCTGTTTGCTGCCGTAGATAGCTTTCTGCTGTTGGCTATCACCTCCTCCAGTTTATCTTTCATTGTGCTGTCTATTTGTGTGCGGCCTGACTATTCTGGGAGTTCAAGTAAATCATTCGCAGATTAGTTTCGCTCTTATCTTTATGAGACGCCAACAACAACATGTGTAAATAAACCCGATTTCTCAGGTTTTCATGCCCGAGCATGTGTCGATGCTCAGAAGCGTTTGCATATATTTACGGACATTTCATCCAATCTAGTTTGGGGGCAATAACTGCGCAGCAATTGTGGATTGTGAATGTTTTATGGGAACTGTTTCAGTTGGCTGATTGTCAACTCGGTTTAATTGAGCTATAAACTAGCTGCCATAAATGGTAAAACTATTTTTTATGGCAAACTAGTTTGAAATAATGCAAAAAAGAAATTCTTGAATATTTGTATAAGAATGAATTTCACATTTAGTTGTTTAATTTCATTTTAAAAATTGATTTAAAATTATAAATATGTATTTCTTAACACTTTTTCTTTATTTTATGAATTTTATATAATTTATTTATTTTTATTTCTCACAATTCTATGTTGAGTTTCAACTCAGAAATATATCTAACATTTTAAAACTATATTTTTTTTTAACACTTTCACAATGTCTGTTAAATTTATTTTAAGATTTCTATTCAGGTATTTACCTAAAATTATTTATATTTTGCTTACACTCTTTCACAAGTTT